ATTGTTGGTTCATGGAAGAAAGAAGAGGGAGAAGAGTAGAGGAAGAAAACCCACAGAGTAGGTTTGGACAATTTTTGAAACCCACCACTGATGAGAAGTGAAATGTCTTCAAAGTAAAACCAGAAAGTCCAGTTGCCACTTGAAAAAAGATAGCCTTTGAGACTGCAGCTGTAGTCCACCTACATCTAGAGGGTGTCAGCTTTGAAAAGACTGCCCTAAAGTTGTCCACATGGCTCTCTGTGGGTTTTCTTCCTCTACTCTTCTCCCTCTTCTTTCTTCCATGAACCAACAATGCCTCCTTTCAGACCTGCGGAGAATGACAGCTGGCTTCATTGGTATGGCGGTGTCCATAATCCTCTTTGGATGGATCATTGGCATGCTGGGTTGCTGTCAACAGCATGAACTCATGCAATATGTAGCTGGACTGCTCTTCCTTATGGGAGGTAATTATTTTTAAATTGTTATTGTTCAAAATATTTTTGGATATAATGCTGGCATTTGTATTATGTATTTTATGCAGTGAATCCATGCCTTAACAGAGAAACGGAATGCATAGATGAAAAGAACATGGAAGTTAGAATGATATTCTTTGTATCATCATTGTCAATCATTCGGTCATTTCCGACTCTATGGTACTTAAACCAACTCAAATATTTTTTGACCAACCCAACTTTAAAATGTTTTGAGAATTTTCAGATAATTTGTCTGTGTCAGTTGATTTATAACAAAATTAGAACCAGATCACATGCATTTCAGATTGGAACAAAATTGCATAGATCAAAGCAGTAATGAAAGAATCCTATTTCTGTAAATTTTAAAATTAGCACAAATGCATATTTATGTGTACAGTACATTTTGAGTTTTATAAGATCAAAGCATATGAATATTTTTTTAAAAAAATCAGTGGTGTTTTAGCTGACCAAAACTACATGGGACTGATGTCAACAAATACTACTACTAACTACTGAGATATAGGAATGTTTCTATTTACCAAAATAAGAGAGTAATACCACAAATACTGTGTGTTCTCCTTCTCTATTACTAGCATTTAGATTGTTAGATGATACAGAGGTTAGTGGCTTTTCATGAAACTGCTACTTATAGGGAGAAGCACTGCAGTTGTGTCATATGTCTTTTTCCTTGAAAGTTTTTTATGGTAATCCCCAGAATCATTCTCTAAAATCTGAATATTACTGTGCTTTTATTGTGGTGCAGCTTTTGGGTGGCCAGATTAACATGCAGTCTGACTTTAAAGAAACAACAGTTGATAGAAGAGTTCAGACAATCAGAGATTCTGCAGAATATGGTCACAAAAGTCAATGGTGGCCACAGTAGCTTAAGGCTTAACCTTAGATTTAAATGTCCACTGCATGTGCAACACACACACACACACACACACACACACACACACACACTTCCACTGTGTCATCATAGCCATTTAGACTTTTGGGACTATACCCTGTGGATCTCCTTGCAGACAAATATTCAAAATGTAAAGATCAAAGAATCCAAAACAGCAGTAAAAACGCCCAGTCAGTCAAGACAGCTGCATGCAAAGGAAAGGACAGGAATCAGAGTAATGAGCCTGAGGAAAAATCAGGAATCTGCCTGTACAAGAAAGTTATTTCATTTCTGTATTTTTAAAGGCTGCTGACAAAGATAAAAACTGGCAGCTTCACATGCCTGATTCTGCCTTTGGCAGGAAAGATGTTACACATTGCTCTCTCTCTCTTCTCCTCCTTTTCAGGGACATGCTGCATCATTTCCCTTTGCACGTGCGTGGCAGGGATAAATTTTGAGTTGTCTCGCTACCCTCGGTACGTTTACGGATTACCAGAGGACATCAGCCATGGCTATGGCTGGTCCATGTTCTGTGCTTGGGGCGGCCTGGGACTGACGCTGCTGGCCGGATTCTTATGCACCCTCGCTCCCTCCCTCAACACCCCTCGGACTGTTGTACATAAACCCAGACAGGAAAATGGAGCTGTGTGATGTGGAGAATACCAGGGAGTCTTATTAGCCCACCGCCCGTTACCAGAACACAGTGTGGACATTTTGAGATCTGCAAACCAGGTTGGAACTAAGGGGTTCTATTGCTTTGGCAAAGTCCTGGAGGAATGCCAGCCCGTGATTCTTCTGTCTGCCTGTTTCTGATTCACATCAACCGTCTGGGTTAATTCTTAGTCCTGTTTTTTCTACGAGGCAGTTTTCTGTTAAATAGGCTTGTGGTGCTATAAGACCTGTTGATCGTTTAAACGGCGTCAGCTTTTTCTTAGGAGCAGAAGCCAGTGTGAATTGTTTGATGCCAAGGAGTTTTATTTCCAAGAACTGGAAGGTCAATTAGAAGGGAAAGCCAAGGGGAAAAAAATCTCCCAGTCTCAGAACTGATTCTCTTTTGAGCAGAGACCCAATGCTGGAATTGGCCCATTACCCTGAAGAAATCCTTGGTCCAGATGAAGGCTTTAAACATTCAAGAGGGAAATATTCTCAATCCAGGCTGTTCAGTATCTGTATCTTGTTAGTTCTGCAAGTCAAATATGCATTAAGTACCTTGGAGCAAAGTGCGTATTAGACCTTCAGATGCTCAAAGAATATTTCCACAAGGGGGCAAGTTGCAATGATGTAATCACCCAAACTGTGGAACCAGTTCAAGGGTTGCACAAATCTGATGTGGTCCTTTGCTCCCTTGCAACAATCTTGTTGACTGATGTAAGAACCCTATGTTCATTTGCAAAGGAAAAAAAAAAAACACCGAAAGTGAAGTGAGCAAGGGAGCCAGGCCCACTCTTCAAATCATGTAGCTGCTCTGAAAGGCAACCTAAGATTCCAAAATATAGAAGAAACTTTGTTTTGGAAAAAGGAGCACAGACCCTAAAAATCTGACATTTTCTCTTGTGACACATAAGGAAGCATAACTCATGAGAGGGATCCACAGTATACAGATGATTAACAAGCTGAGCCTAACTCAGGAACATCAACAATGGTGCTGAAGGGAAGGCCTGATCTTTCCTCATTGTACTTCTTTACTGTTGCCCCCAAAGACTGCACAGAACCCTTTGATGAAGGGCTGTTTACATTGTATTTTGAAGTGGCATGTAATTAATTACTCAGTGCTAAAAGTTAATGTATTCATGGCAAGTGTGATTTTTAAATGGAAGTTGTACATTTCAAGAGGCATTAAATTAAAAGGCTTGGTTACGTTAAAAGGAGAGCAATTCTCTGGCTTTAGATTTCTTCTACGTGTTATAGCTGCAAAACAAAAACCCTGTTAACATCCTATTTAGTATCTTTACAGGAATAAGGAAGCATCATCGGATGAAAAGTATGAGTCCTGGGAACCAAATCTCAAGGTAAACAAGCATTTGGAATCAGGACCAATTTGCAGCAGAATAAGGAGCTAATGATTTTTCCTCCCCTCTTAATGTTTTATATAATTTATCTGACCAGGTAAGCAAACTATAGTCTACCAATTACATATGTACCCAACATAACAAGTGAACAGAAGGGAAGCAGGAACTGATAATGATTTACTGTAATACATTGGAGGCCATTTAGTGGGAAGCTGTTCAGCCTACTTATATTCCAACAAATCAGCATTTTCACACAAACCTATAGAATTGTTACCTTTAAGATGCTCCCAAAGAACATGCATTAATGCTTTTCTAATAGAGTGATTTTCAGATAGGCAATGGAATTCAATTGGCACCTATAAAAGAAGACTTTAATCTAAGAGAGCCATGGTGGCACCATGATTAGAATGCATATTGCAGACTCTGTCAACTGCCAGCAGTTCGATGGTGACAGGCTCAAGATTGATTCAATCTTCCATCCTTCTCAGGTGGGTAAAATGAGGATCCAGATTGTTGGGGGCCATATGCTGACCCTGTAAATTGCTTAGAGGGGGCTGCAAAGCACTATGAAGTGGTATATTAGTCTAAGTGCTATTGCTAATCACCCTTCCACAACAAAAACATCTATTAAAAACAGATGTTCCAGCCATCACAAAAACGTGCTTTTATACCCTTAAAAGACAATTTAAGGGTTAAACATAGAAGGAATGATTGTAGATTAGAGGCAATTGGATTTTCTTGGTTTTTTCCTTGAAAACGTTTCTCTTCTGCAGTTTGTTTTCAAGGAAAAAAACCAAGGAAGTCCAGTTGCCTTTTGAAAAGCATGTTTGAGAGAACCATGACCTGGGTGACTGAGAATCTCCCTAGGCACTTAGGAATTATTAAGGTCCTGTCAAAAAGTGATTGAACTGATAGGAAAGGGCACCCATAAAGCTACAACAAAAAGGATTGAAGAAATTTTAAAGAAAATGTTCAAGAAAAAGGGAGAATTAAGAGGATCAGTTGCTTCCAAATTGCCAGAGTATCAATGGTGAAATTCAAGTTTTTTTACTGCTGGTTCTGTGGGTGTGGCTTGGTGGGCGTGTCAGGGGAAAGATACTGCCAAATCTCTGTTCCCACCCCTCTCCAGGTGAAGGATACTGCAAAATCCCCATTCCCTCTCCACTCCTGGGGGAAAGATATTGAAAATCTCCATTCCCACCACACTCTGGGGCTAGCCATAGGTGGTATTTGCTGCTACTCCAAACTACTCAAAATTTCTGCTATGGGTTCTCCAGAACCTACTGAATTTCACCCCTGCAGAATATCACTTTAAAAATGCAATGGATGTTAGAATGTATATTGTGCATCAAATCTGAGAAAGTGCTATCAAATTCAAAAGGATGCGTTATCAAATCACATCAGAGAGAACATTAGAGTTAAAAAAATGTCTCTAAATAAACTTTTATCCATATAGAAAACTAATGCAACTGAGGGGGACGGCCTGACACATCTTCTAACAATACACAAACAAAATAAAGATGAGTGAAAGATATCAATGAATATATACCAAATTAACATAGCAAATGACATTAAAAATCAAGTGTATGCATGTGTGTGTATTCATATTCAAAGCAGGAAACTAGCTACAAAAATCGTTTGAGCCTTGGACAAAGGTACTAAATGGGATCAAAGAAACTGCAGAAAAGTCCAATTAATTTGATTTTTACCAATGAGGATGCTCAGGCATCAATTTGCTTTTTCAGGCCACAGCCAAACCGGGATGACAAATGAGAAAATTTTGTTCTGTGGTGACCGAAATAGATACATCTAGTTCTACATGGTATCTACTTCAAGGACTGTTAATCTCTCTCTTTATATATATATAAATCGAGATATTCCCAATCCCTACAGAAATCTTTGGCTCCTTTATGCTCCCCACCTTCAATTTAAATGGGAAAAAACCCCTAAGTTTTACCTCAGAGTTAAAACAAAATATAGTTTCATATCAAATGGTTTGCAGATTTTGGATTTAGTTAAAAATTTATATAGGTGTCTTCAGAATCTTATAGGTAAAACCTGAAATGCTAGTTAACAATCAAGACGAATTGTGAAAGTGTATCAAAGATTCAAGCACAAAAGCAAGAGATGACATGATCAGATACATGTTGGTGTTTAAAGAGATTAATGAAAGAAGTTTCATATATATGAATTTCCTCCATAATTAATATTTGTTTTCCATCTTCAACCAAATATAACAGCAGCAGTCTCAGTTAGAGGAAACATTTTTATTAATTTATTTTTTTCATAAGTGAAAGGAGTTCACACAAGGAACTCAGTTGCAAAAGTTAACTCTGAACTTTTTGTATCAAGGCTTTAATATTCAATTTAGGAGCAAAAATCAGGCATAATATTGCAAATTGGCTTTTTTCTTGGCCTGCACCTCCAAAATTCCTTCCATGTAATCTTCATGGGTAAGTTCCGTTGCTCCGTGCCGAAGGGCAATCATTCCCTGACCCAAGAAAGGGGAAAAAAGCATTCAGTAAAAGTGCAATATAGCTGACATAAGAAACTATAATTCTTTTGTTGTATAAAGTCTCCATAGGTCAGCAGTTAGGGGGGAAAAACAGACTTCCAATGGAAACAGACCAAACCTACTTACCGCTTCCACACACACAGCCTTGCACTGTGCACCATTGAAGTCATCTGTGCATCGTGCCAGCTCTTCATAATTCACATCAGGACTGCAGAGAACAAGAGTTTCATTAAAAAAAAAACTCGGTGGGAAAGATATAAGACTTAATATTGAACATAGCCCACATAAACCACCCCAATTTGCCCTTACTTTATTTTCATTTTCCTAGAAATAGGGAAGGACAAGAAATGAAGACCTGATCTAACCTCTGAATCTAAAATTCAATCTTTGTTGTGGCATCTCAATTTTTATTATTGTAATATTTTGCTACTATTTTCACAGTCATACAGATTAGAAACTTGCTTTTCACAAAATAGCTAAATTTTGAAAAAGTGTAATAGTTTTTAGTTAATGCCATATTCAGAGGCAGCTATTGTCTTTTTTGCACTATAAGATGCACTCCCCACTCCTCAAAAAAGTGAGTGGAAATGTCTGTGTGTCTTATACAGCAAATATTGGTGTGGTGGTGGTGAATGCTCCATTGCTCCCTGGCTGCTGGCAGCAGCAGCTCAGCTCAGTTGACCAGACAGCTGATTGGCAGTTGGATCGGCCTCCCGTAATACCATCAATCAGCTGTTCTGGGCAACGGCGATTGCTGCCACCTAGAACAGCTGATTGGCGATATTACGGGAGGCAAATCTTAGCAGCTCAGCTGAGTTGACCGATGGTGGGCGGAACTCTGATGAGTCACGTGCTGGGACTATGATAACGTGCTGAAGTTGACCAGGCTGTTTGCTGCAAGGACGCTAGCCAGATGAATACCAGATGGATGCTAGGAGGCAGAAGCAGATTTTCCCTCCCTTGTTTTCCTCCTCTAAAGCTAATTTGTGTCTTATGGTCCGGGGTGTGTTACAATGCAAAAAATACGGTAATTATGGCATACTCTGAATAAAAATGATTCCATAATTCACTCAACATCATCCGAATTACATTCTCTTTCTGTTTAATACCTGACATTCATTTTGCGTGAATGGATCTGCATAATCCTGGCTCTGGCCTCTTCATTGGGCATTGGGAATTCAATCTTGCGGTCTAACCGTCCCGAGCGTAGCAAAGCAGGATCTAGGATATCAACACGATTGGTTGCAGCAATCACCTGGATAAAGGACATACTTTGTAGTTGGGAAGACACAGATTCTATATACTACTATTAAATTATGGTAATAGATACGAGCAGTCCTTAGCTTTCATGTAACCCCCGGATGAATTATGATATGGTATACATATTTTCACTTCATATAAGCTCCCCGCTCTTCAAAAAGAGATTTAACATTCTAGCCCTGTTCATCCTGCGCCATAGGCTAATAAAATATTTTTAAAATAATGATATTCAAAGCTATTAAAAAACTTCAGCTTGGTCACCAATCTGATTTCTAAAGCTACTCTGTAATAACTGTTTACAAATATTATTGAGTCACAAAATTGCTTCCTATATTAATGACAGGCAAGAATTACCTTGACTTGTGTGTTGGGTTGAAACCCATCAAGCTGATTAAGCAATTCCAACATGGTCCTCTGCACTTCACGATCACCAGCTTTTTCACTGTCAAATCTGGTGGAAAAAACAAAGATTTATTTTTTATTACCCATTTTCTGTTTTATTACCATTTTCTGTAGAAATATATATAGACTTAATTAAAATACTACTTTGAAGTAATAACAAAAAACCATTTCATGTTGTCAAAGCTCATGTACTTAACATACCATGTTTTTATGTAAATATAGTTTCCTGTATCAGCAGTAATGGACTAACTGAGGAAGGGGGTTTAATCTACTGTATTCTTCTATGCTAAGGCAGCTGAGGTCATAGAATTTTGTCCTTCAGTTGACATCCACTGAGCCAAAGACAGTTAATTTTGCATATATTGTTGCCAATGTACATTTAGAATTATGACTGGCAATCGTAAGAAAGAAAACAAACACTG